GCACAAGACTGTGGCTTCAACATGTTCATGTTGCTTCTACCCCTGACAGCTTTAGGGTTTGTCACGGAAGCATCTCGAATGATAAACGACGATGCCAGCAGTACTGGCAATCGCCACAGCATGACCCTGACAGCCACGGACCATTCAATAGTAGCTAGGTGGCACTTCGGGAAACTTCAAACTTTCCCTTATTGTTCCTACAGAGGTGCCTATTCATAATTGCTGGGGCTCCAAAACTACAACCCAGGTAGAGATGGTATTGGCGTAGTAGCCGCCTCAATTTAACATGTGAGGCTCATGGTGCCAGCGGTAGCAATACAACTAAGTCTTCATCAACGAGATAAGCAGGTTTAAGTCGAACATCGGTCCTGACAAGCACACAGTAGGTGCATGAGTAGTTCTTAAACGGGTGTGCGTTAGCTACTCTACACCCTAAACCCTAAGCCCTAAACCCTAAACCCTAAGCCCTAAACCCTAAACCCTAAGCCCTAAACCCTAAACCCTAAGCCCTAAACCCTGAACCCTAAATCCTAAACCCCCAGCCTTAAAATACTCTCACTGCCTCGCCGAATTCTGCACAGGCCGACTGCACCAGATCCGAGCGCACCTCGCTTCTCAGGGCGCTCCCTTGGTGACGATGGCTGCAATAATAGCTTCAGCGTGTTTGGGTTGAAGGCCCAATGACCAGTTCTTGAGGGTTTATGGTGTAAGATTCAGTGCATGGGGCCTGGGTTCTTAAGCAACCTGGGCATTTTTCAATTTCGTGGGCAGCATTCGAGGTTCGCGGGTTTGGAGTCAATTCCGTTCTTGCGGTAAGTGCAAATGGGTCGGCGGCTTCTGAGATTTTTGGGCTTTTCCTGGTTTGGACCGTTCATGTTCGGCCGTGAGAGTGCTGAAGATGCGACCGTGTTTGAGAAAGCTCCGTGACAACGCAATCGCCGTCTCAAGCGTGAGCAGAAACATTTTTTGCTCCCTTCTCCCGAAACCCGACGCCCAAACCCTAAACCCTGAACCCTAAACCCTAAACCCTAAACCCTAAACCCTAAACCTCACAGCCTGAGCCCGAAGCCTTGAAGCCCAGCCTTAACTCAAAGGCCTCGGCTGAAGCCCTTGAACTTCTGTGAGCAGACCGCACACCCTAAACTCCTAAACTCCAACGCCCTGAAGCCTTCACCCTAAAGCCTTGAGCCCTAAGCCTTACACCCCAAACCGGAGGGGAAACCCTCGCCTAGAGCTTCCAGTCCCTTCAAGTCTAAACTCCTAAAACCAAGCCGTCAGCCGTGAGTCTCAGTGTGGAACACAAATAAGGTGCCCACCAATCCTTGAATCTAGGGCTTGGGGTTTCGGGCTTGGAGTTTAGGGTTGGCCCCTAGAGCGATGAGCCTAATATAGGACCCGAGTTGCAACCCTTAAAGACCCCTTCGACAGCCTTCTGGGTCCCTTATAGTAGTCCCAAAGGCAACCCGAATAAAGCCTGCGGATGTAGTCGCTATGGAGAGCTTTGGCTTCGAATCTTTCAGAGGACTTCGAGTCAGAGGATTCCGCTTCATCCGACGGAGACTTAATGCAGGAGCCCAAGAAAGTAGAGGTTTTGGGGTATATCATACTCTAATGATAGTGACGAACCCCCACGGTAGTATTGGCAAGTATTTGGGCACACATAGTACCCTAGCACCCCGTTCAGACCGATATCGTGCTCCGGTAAAGTTCAGGGAGTTGGGAGCCAAAGCTATCCACAGATACAAGGATACCTACATCCTGAAAGACTGATCCGCCTTGGGACACCGTCACCTTAAGAAACAGCTTTTACAGCGCTGGTAAGACCGAGTCAAATTCTACAAAGTCTTGAAACACAAATGCTTATGAAACCCTGCAGCTGACATGTTGCCGAGGTAGGGGATCACCTCTACGGAGCTCAAAGGTCGGATTTGTTCCTGAAGTTGTAGGTTTGGGGATCTTTTTGGGCTTAGGGCTTCCGGAGGTTTGGAGCGTAGTGCTCGGGGGCTTCACGTTCGGGCTTAAGGTCTCCAGGTGTTAGGCTTCGGGGTTTTAGGTTCCTGAGATTTCGGGCTTGGGGACGAGGATAGGTGCTCCCGCCGGGGCTTCTCGCATCGAAAGGCAAAGCCGGACGAAGACTGTGCATCAAAGATCCGCGAGACCCAAGCCCAACTCCGAAACCAAGAATTCAAGGCTTGCGGGCGGCTCCAGGCCGTTCAATATGTGAAAGCTCTGCTTCCCTGTAACTTCCCGTCCTCACCCCTCAGCCCAAGCCCTCACCACCATAACGAATTCAATTAAGGTGTAGGCTCGAACTCACGTCCCCGAAGTCTGTACCCTTTTTCGGTGAACTTCGAATCTTAAACCTTCAACCACGAGCCAGAAACCCCAAGCTGCACACCCTAACACCTCCAATCCCGCATTCCCCAGAATTGGGAATACACCATAATTCCCACAGTTTAGGGCCATGCAGGATTTATATCATCAACTGCAGTTTGTTATGGTAGACCATGGTATATTGTAGTAGATGAGAGTGTATGCAGGGTTTCCTGGTGCCGCCGGCTTTTCCTTCATTGCCACCGGCTGAAACTCTTCGGGCCGTCTCGCGAGGTCGTTCGAGTGTCGGATTTGGGGGAAGGTGTATATATATATATATATATATGTATTGGTATGTCTGTATGTATGTATGTATGTATGCATGTATGTAAGTAAGTATGTATGTAAGTATGTAAGTAAGTATGTATGTATGCATATTTTTTGGGCGTGGGGTCTAGGACTTGCGACTGTGGGGTTGGGGGGTTTAGGGTTTCGGGGTTCAGGTTGCCTGGCATTTTGGGCTCTGGGTCGAGTCCAGAGTCGAGGCGTTGGGGACTTTACTTAGGGGTACTGAGAAATATTTTTTTAACTTTTGGCTGCTATAAACCCTAAGAAGAAGCTAAAATTATAATTTTTGCTAGGGGTCTAAGTTCAGTATAGTTTAGGGTTCAAAAGATTTGGGGTTTCGGTTTCCGATTCAGTTTATGGCCTGTGGCACACGACAGAAACATTCCCTCAGCCTCTAATGTGCCGGTGCGCTTCGCCAAACCGCGAAAGCCTGCATCATCGACCCGAGCACCCCTATATCAGGGTTCTGCGATTCACCCTAACCCCCAAACCCTAAACCTAAACCGTGCAAATCCTTCAACCCCTAAACCCAAACACGGCCAAGAACCCGTCAAACCCTTAATCACCCGTGCCCTAAACCCCAAAAGATCGAACACTCAAACCCGAAGCCACTTCGTAGACGCTGTGAGCCGAAGACGCGCTGGACCTCTGAGCCCCCAACCTCCAACCGGCCTCTTAGGTTTTTGAGTTTTAGGTTTTTGGAACTTAGGTGAAGGGTTTGGGGTCTAGGTCAAGGGTTCAGGGTTGAGGGCTCTGGGCGTTTAAGATTTAGGACCTAGGGTTCTCAAAGCTTCAGACAGGGAGGGGCCAGGCCCCTAAGCGCAGCTACAAGTAGCTGTCCCAAGGGTGTTTTTTGCTCTTGGAGCTCCGGAGGTTTGGGGTTGCAAACTTTAGGAGTTTAGGATGTAGAGTTTAGGGATTTAGGGTTTAGGGGTTCAGGGGTGTGGGGTTTAGAGTTTAGGGTAGGCCTCTATATGAATGAGAGACACCGACAAAGAGGAGACTTAGTTTTGTCATTGAACTCCTTTTCTCCAATACCACCCTCAGGATATCTAAAGTAGAAGCCAGAGAGCTGGAACATCATTATCCTCATGCCATTAAAGTAATTAAAACAACATAGAAATTCACCAGCCTGGATCATCCTAAAATCCACGTTCCAGCTTTCTGGGGATCACTTTGGGTTTAGGGTTTAGGGGTTTGGGGTTAAGGCAGTCCGGATTTCAGGGTCTGAAGCTTTCATGCATGTACCACTCTCGCACTACCTTGACAGGAATTCGCTAAACCAAACTCCAAACACTACAAACCCTCAATCTAAGACTTAAACCTCAACCGAAAGCAGCTGACAGCCGCGAGACCCCCGAAACTTGCACGCACCCCCGCTTGGAGGTTCATGGGTAGTAAGGTTATAAGTAGGGTAACTATACTTATAACCCATATTCGGGGACTTATAACCCCACGTATAACTACCCATGAACTTCCAAGCGCCCCCCAAAGACTTTGGGTTTCAGGTTTTGAGAGACCCGGGCATGGAGGTAACTTTTGCAAATCCGGCCCGATGAAGCGCAGAGAGCAGCTTGGGGGCTATAGGCCCTGCCGAAAGCCCTGGTCCTCCCTAAGGGTTTAGGGTTTAGGGTTTAGGGTTTAGGGTTTAGGGTTTAGAGTTTAGGGTGGCTGTACAACAGGGCTGGTTTTGGTAGAGGCAGCGGCGCTTCTATGGTCTGCACGTCGATGCAGGTCGAACTTCCTACTTCATCAGCTTCTTTTCATGGACTCCTTGGCGGTGACCAGCCAAGCCAGGTCCTCTCGCAGCTCCGGTAAGAGAGACGGGGAGCTCCATGAAAAGTGACGCACTCCTCGGGTTTTGGGGGTTTGGCATTTATGATCTACGGTTTTGGTTAGGGTGTTGGGGTGTAATTATGGTTTACAGTTCATGGTCTATTTTAGGGTTTTGGATTCTTGTTGAGAATCCTAAACTAAGCTTGGCCGACAACTGAACTTAAGAGACATAAGAAGGAGTCAGGGCTCGATTCGGTAGCTGTCGCAACTCGCACTTTCCGATCTCGCCTCGGAAGCGCTCTGCATCGAAGGCCGCAGACTCTGTGCCCGTCGCATGGCACAATATCAGAAGTGGGCATGCTTCCCAGTCGTCAAACTTGCCAAGGAACTTCCTAACACCCTCGACATCTTGGGCGATCGCACTTTCAAACTTCCCAGGCTCCGATGGCATTCGGTCCGAGCTGATGTCGAGCATTAGAACCAGGGCATCAACATCCAGGTAATACGTCTGAAAGAGTGGACGCCATGGTGGACACTCCGAGGAGGCGACATGGACGTGCCCACCATTTATGCCTGTTACCACGGCCTTTTCCAATGAAATCACCTGACCGGTGCTCGCCCCCGCCCTAAACCCTAAACCCTAAACCGATACGCCCAACAGCCAAACATCCCGAAATCCTGAAGCTCATGCTCCATGAAAACCCGAAGCGGTACATACGTTTAGAACCCCCCCACTCTCTCAAATGAAGGTCTTCCCTGCTGCCGAAGGCAAGCTGGCGATATTCTTGGTGCACATTCGCTCTGAAGAAGGCGAACCAATCGCTGGGAAGGTGACTTCTCAAGCTCCACAAAGAACTCGCATGCTGGGTTCATGACCAGAACCCGAGTGACTGGGCCAAAGAGCAGCCAATCCGTTTGCCTCGCCACGGTGGCACCCATGCAGAGGAGCGCGCTGGAAAACCGAAAAGAGCTACTTGACGTCTTATCTCATGTGTCTGACACGGCGCATTGCATCGAAATGAGGTGGCCAGACATCATTGGCGATAGAAACAGTTGCAGTAAGCCGCCAGGATCTCTCAGTAAGATTCCTGTCAACTAGTACGTACCATGAACTACATGGGCCCTCAGCTAACGCGGAAGGGCCTGAACGTTCCATCCTAAGTGTGTACTACTTGCAGACAGTAGCCGCAGCAGGAGGAAGAGATATACTAGTAGTAGCAGTAGTAGCAGCAGCAGCACTAGTAGCAGCAGGAGTAGTAGTAGTCGTCGTCGTTGCTGTGGTGGTGGAAAAGTAGAAGTGGTAGCCTTTCTTCGAGATGTTGCCGGCAGCATCGGGGCTGATACCTGGAAGAACCTGAACCGAACGATACAGTCGTTGGGTTGAGTGTCTGCGGCGTTCAGGTATGTCCGGTGGAGGTGGGACCCATCAACAACCCTCAACAACTATAACTGTAAGATGGAACCCTAAGGAATACTGGTCGGATTTTTTGCCGGTCCCTGTTTGTTCATGCAGCACGACAAGACTTGCAGCCTAAACCCGAAGCAATAGCCTAGCCTACACCCTGAACCCTAAGCCCCTAAACGCAAAACCTATACCTTAAACGCTACACGAAGCTATCTCCCGGGGCCTCCGTAAAGAAATTCTTCGCGAAGTGCTGGGCCTCGGCAGTGTCACCCCTGTTCCTTATCGCTTTTCTCATCCTTAACATTATTACTACTATTATCAAAAGTAGTAAAATTGGTGGTGAAGGTGGTGGAGGTAGTGGTAGTGGTGGTAATGGTAGTGGTAATGGTAGTGGTAGTGGTAATGGTAGTG